AGGGAAGTCTGGGCATCTTTGCTTAGACTGCTGCCCCTGCGACCCGGTCCCGGATAAGCAGAGGAAAATGGATGGATGGATGGATGGATGGATGTGTTATGTTTGTGAAAGTTCACCACTTTTACTGCATTTTTGCTCAGTTGTCATTTTGTCGGCCATATTTCATTTTCTTTACTCTTCTACGTATTTAATTATATTAGGAAGCTAACATTAGTTTTGTCAGTTCACCTGGTTTTCTTTTAGAAAACTCTTGTGTTGGTAACTTTTGCAGTTTGAACCTACAAAGAGCTGGTATAAACATAACCTTGATGTTGAAAGGTTCAGAGACTCTCTAAAAAATAAAATAATTTCGTTCAAATTCTAATAAAGCAATTTAACAAGGCAAGAAAGTATCTGAGAAGGAAAAGTCACTCTTTGGTTGAACAACATTTGCTTAATAAGCTGCGATGAGGAGTAACAAATGAGACATTGCTTCATTTTAAGGGGTTCCAAGTCATAAAGTTTGGGAGCCATTGAGCTAAGTGTAGGTATAGGATATAATTAATAATACACACAATGTCATAATTAACAGACACTTGTCATCTAATCTGTGCTAGATATTTGTCATGATGTTGCAGGTCCAGACTGGGTTTGGATAAAGAACAAGGGATGATCCATCTGGAGATCAGTGTCTCTGATGGACGTGAGTACAAATTTGATGTTACAAGTCAAATAATTGTGAAAAAACATGTTACTAGTTATATTTCTTTAAAGTGTTAGTGTTTAGTTTCCCTTGTCGAAACAACAAATTACATTTTTGCTTGTTCAAACATTTGATGCCATTTCTAAATCACTGTTCCACAACATGGGTGAGATTACACTTTTCTTTTTTTTGACGTCCCATACTAAAACTCTATTCCCCATCTGAGCTAGTTATGTGGACAGTCTTCCTATGACTAAGTTAATTAAAGTGCCAGGCTGTGACTCCGCTCTTTCCTCGGCCTCAGAGCAGAGAGGGTGCACTGCCATGAGGTCCCGTGCATTAATGCCCTGTCCCTGGAGAGACCTCCTCATTGGCTGGTGCTAACACACTGAGACAGTTCTCTCTGCTTTATTTATTAGTGAGAATAAGCATTGGCCTACACATTTTTGCATCTATGGCTCACTATAAGCAGTGCTAAACCTTGAATGTGGAATCCAGAAGGTTGTTTGTTTTTCTCTTTGTTATATTTTTGCTACTCATTTCTTGCTTACCCACAGGGTCACAGTACATAACTTGTAAACTTCAGAACTGCTCTGATGGAAACAAGGGCAAGCCTTTCCCTGGATTTATCATCCCTAATTCCCTGGTGGTTCAGGATGAATACGTTTTCATCCAGGTGGGTTTTTTATTGCAAGGTCTGGCATCATTAAAAAACAATTAAAAGCTGTAAAACCACTGCATTCAATCTCATCTTAATTTACATTCATGTTTTCCATTACCTAAAAAGGGCTATTATCCTGGGAAAGGATGGCATGAAATTGAAATCACTGTGTTGTATATTATACTACTGCTCTACACCGCAACATCCTAATTAGTAACAAATACAGAGTTTTGATGGTGGTTTAAATTGTTTGATACATGCTGTTAGAAATGATTGAGGTATATGAATATTAACTTGAAATGCGATCAACTGCTAAACTGCACTATCTTGCTTCTTTAGGTGCCAATAGGTGGCCAGTCTGTCCATTATGTGTCCTATAAAAGAAATGCTTTCTACCCAATGAAGCTTCCCAAGTACACTCTGCCAAAGGTAAGACAAGAGGAAAGGATGCAATGTTAGTTGAGTGCAAAAAGCAGCTGAGCAAGTGCACCATTATTGTTTTTTCTGAAACACTATTTATTGTTTCAGGCTATTTTGTGTTGTCATGATGACTTACTATGGGCAGATTTTTCAGCAGATATTATGTAGGGTTGTTCCCAGTCGTTAGTTATTTTCTCTACATTATTATCATCCTTTAAATTCTGCATAATTATGTCTTTAGATCTTGTTTATTTAAGACCCATGCCTAGTTTTTATCAGCCGCCCAGCTGTATCATCAGATAATTACTTTAAAAAATTATCTTGAGTTGCACGTTCCTCAGAACTGCAGTGGAACTTTTTAAAGCAGAAAAGTCCAATACATTTGCACAAACTGGTGTTCTGCGCTGACTTCCATTTTTATTAAAAGCACAGCAAGGTGGCTGAGTGGTTTGAGAGGCTATCATAACAGCAGGAGAGATTTAGGGCCCACAGTGTTGTTTCAATCAATTTATGTATCCAGCCATGTATACTGTCAACATTTCTTTGAGAAGGACATGCACCCACTACCTCGGCTCACAGTGGGTAGGGCCTTCAGTAAAATGAAATGGAGAAATGGTCTTCACTTGAGGTCGTATCACTGCTGGTCCTGATTGAACACTGTCAACCGGTGATGAATTACTAGCTTGATGTTCAAGCTCTGTGGCTACTATTACACAGATTCACACATTTTTGCTTTAAATCAGTCCTTGTTGGCTGGCCCAGTTGACCATGAAGAGGCATCTACTCATGAATTTCATATGTATAGGACTTACAGATAATCAGCACAGATGATAACCAGGTGGTGGCTGCGATCCAGGACTGGCACCAGAACGACTCCTACAACCTGTACATGTCTGAGTCCAGGGGGCTGTTCTTCACCCTGATGCTAGAGAATGTTGTGAGCAGTGGCGGTCCAGAGGGCAACATCATGATAGACCTCTATGAGGTAGGCGGAGCTGCCATCTGTTTATATGGTTTCTGGTTATTCAGGCATGTCGAGCAGGATCAGTTCATTTTCCTTGGCCTGGTTTTTTGACTGCTGCAGTTTATCAGCTCATGTAATGTTCAGGTAACTAATTTGTGCAGTAAGAGTGCAGTTATATGTATGCAAAATTATGCTCTATAATGCAATATTGTGTACTTTTTGTGCAGAAAATCTAAATGATCAATTTTGAGTAAACATTTAAATCATTTATCAAGCAAAAATGCAAAAACATTTGCTGGTTACAGCTTCTCAAATATGAGAATTTGCTGTTTATATCTTTACAAATTACAGTCAGTGAAGAAATCTGAGGTACCTTCGTATTCTCAGGAATTATTGTGAGCCTGTATTGCTCGTGCACAGATATCTAAATACATCACACTCTCACTCACATATACATCTTAGAGTCTTCACTTTGCCTAACATTGTCTTTTCACTATGTGAGAAGACTCAAGGTAACATGGGAAGAACATGCAAACAAAAAGGGCACAATTCACTATGTGCATCTAAGAGCTCCATACAAATTTAAATTCCTGCTTTGGAAGCTTTTTTTTAAAACAATAAAACACTGATGAGTAAGGTACCAACAGACAGCTTAAAACTTAACTTGGAGTTATTCTTGATTTTCTGCTGCGTGCACACCAGGAAACACTGGTGCCATCCCATAGTCACAGGTGAAACAGCAGCTTGAATTTGTGTCCTGACCATGTTATATCTGTGTTGGCAAATATACTCTGAGGGTGCAGTGACTGGACATGCCTGCATCACTTTAGATCATCCTCATCTGCAGCCAGCAGTAAAAGCACCCCACTGTTACAAACACATACCTAACATAGCCACCAGCAGTGGTTATGCTCGCTGCTCACTGACCTCCGCACAGTCACTGCCCAGAAATGTTTAGCTGCAACATCTTGACTAGTCATTCTTCCTTGGACAAAGATTTGTGCTCTCTGAGTGAACTCAAGTGATAGCTGCACATGAAAGTCTGCATCTCTGTGCACATAAATACAAAGAAAAAGAAATAATTCAGGGCTGCGCCATATGTTGTTTTGGTTCTGCAGAGTTCTACAGATGGTCAAAAATAGTGCTCCCTGTCAGAAAAACTATCACTTTCAGATGTCTCTTACTCCCTGAACTAGGCCTTCAGCTTTACTTAAGTCTGAATAATTTACGTTTTTTTCCCCCTCTTTCCTTCGTCTTTGTTATTTTTTCCCCCTACTGCTCTCCGTCTCATGTTTGCAGGTTGCCGGGATAAAAGGGGTGTTCCTGTCAAATAAAGTTGTTGAGAACCAAGTGAAAACTTATATCACATACAACAAGGGGAGAGACTGGCGTCTTCTTCAGGCTCCACCAACCGATCTCCAGGGAAACAAGGTCTATTGTGAACAAGTAAGTGGGCCACTGTCAAGAGATACATTTGGTTATTTGGATTTTCATTATCTGCTCAAAGACTGCTACCCTGAATCATACCATACCATGTTCAAAGACCGCAAATAAATCCTGTATAACAGAGACCTTTTAAATAATTAAATATACCTTGAAGGGTGAAAACATTCTCTCAAAATGTTGTCCAATTTGCAAACCCCAGTAATCTACACTATATAAAACACAGTCATTTCACATAACTGCCCTTAATAAATGGGGGATCCAAAAATTGTATTATTTTTATTATTAGTGGTAGTAATAGTATAACTTCTAATTATGTAGTAACGATTCTTCATAGTATATTTATTGTGCTGCACTGGTACTGCACAATGAACTTCCAGCATAAATCACCTTTCACCAGTTTTGTCCATTCTGTGGAGACTTAATGATGTGTGATTATAATTACAGTATGTAATAGTTTGTACATTAAAAACATTCCCATTTCTGCTTTTATCTTTGCCATATTCTGACTAGACATACCTGTACAGCCTTTTTCCTTTTCAGAGTCTTATTCCAGGCTCCTCTTTGCCTTAGCTGTTTCTTTAAGATCGGTTAAAGAGAGTCAGGCCAGTTGTATGTGAGTCAGATCTGTATCAAACAGATCATTTTCAGCAAACTAATCTCCCTTGTGTTTCCCAGCCGTACTGTTCGTTACATCTGCACCTTCATGTGTCAGAGAATCCTTACACCTCGGGGAACATTGTCAGCAAAGACTCAGCTCCAGGAATTATAATAGCATCAGGTATTTGATTTGAACTTTGATTTGAACATGCACACTGTTGTTTACTCTCAGCTTTAATGCTGGTCCTCAATCATATCCCTCAGCTCCCCCAGTAAAATGTGTTCTTAGTTCTGTTCCCAACACCATCTTGCTCAGCTAACAACAGTCTACAAAGTGAAATGAACTCAATCTTTCCTGCACATCTGTTGCATGTTACTTCAGTGGAAAGAATAACTAAACCTTTTATATTATTTATTTAATCTGTATTCTCATAGAAATACTAACTGAATAAAGCAGCCATACTGATTTGCCTATGTAACAATTTAACAGACATGCGTGAAATAATGAGGATTAAAATAGTGCTCTTCTTCCTTGTGAATCCAGGTGTGGTGGGACCTGAGCTGACCAGTACTAATGTCAGTATTTTCATCACATCAGATGCTGGAAACACCTGGAGAGAGGTATAATATCATAACTGTATGACTAGGGCAACATTTTGTCATACCTGTACAATGCCTAGGTTTCTGTATCAGTACTTTTTGAATATGTTAACTGGCTAAGAGTCTTTTTTTATCAAAATGGAGAGCACTACTTTAAAGCTTATGTGATAAATGTTTCCCGTCATCTTTTCCACAATATAATGCAGAAAAAAAAGAGGAAAACATGACTTTAGTCAGGCATTATCAGAATATAAGTGTAAAAGCACAAAACTAGGAGTGTGACTGAGCATTCGCTACCAACTTTCACCTCTTGTTGTTCAGTTCATGGAGCTACAGTCTGTAAAACAGAAAGAACTGAAGTTTGACACCCAGCCTTGTGCAAGCCTTATGCATCTTTGATCTGTGGGGCAAATAAATCAGACATTTTTGCCATCAGTTTAAAAGAAAATCAACAAAGACAGTAACGCTTGCTTGATGTTTTTTTGTTTATTCACACAATTGAGACTCTTGCGTGCTGGTTCTTACAGTACAGAAGGTTGCATATGCAGACTTTTTCACTGATGCAATAAAGTGAAGCTACTCTTGTCTGCAGGTTTTCCAGGAAGAGTACAGTGTGTTTTTCCTGAATCAAGGAGGATCTCTGGTGGCCATCCGACACACACCTCTGCCAATTAGACACATTTGGTAAGTTCCTCTAAGGATATTCTACATCTTTTTAGAGACTACACTCAATCTTCACAAAAAGGAGTGAGACTGCTATCCTGCTGAGGCTCCGCTTAGTGAATTCAGCTCTATTTGTGGCTGGTTTGTATGTGATTTAACCATTGTTCTCTCCTTCAGGCTGAGTTTTGATGAGGGCAGAAACTGGGACAAATATAGCTTCACCTTCTCCCCACTCTATGTTGATGGGGTGCTGGGGGAGCCTGGAGAAGACATCCTCATAATGACGTAAGATATGAAGGGACCAAAACAAGCCGATATGCTTCTGGTTTGTTAGTTATTGTACTAGTTAATTGCATATTATTCTGATGAAGGCTTAGAAGTGTACATAAATATCCTTGTGGTTTAATAGGGCCATGACAGAGAGCAGTTTCTCAGAGCAACATGGAATAAAGCCAGTGTATTAAAATAACCTGAAGTGGAGTTGCAAAGTTTTTTAGCCAGCAGGATTTTTTTTCTTAAAGTTGTCCCATAGAACACCTGTTTCTGACTTTGTTTAATGGCTTGTTTGTGCAGAATATTTGGTCATTTCAGTCACCGGTCTGAGTGGCAACTTCTCAAAATTGACTTCCGTACAATTTTCCAACATCTGTGCACACCTGACGATTATGTGACGTGGCAATTAGACAACGAGGTAAGAGGATCTTGCTGCTACTTAAGTGTTTTTGATGAGTATTCATTCGTTGATTAAACGCAAGTGAATCCCTTTGATTCAGTTGCACAATAAAAGCAAGATGGTAAAAAGACAAAAACAGGAAAAAGAACCACTGAAATGTTTACGATGCATTATTCATCACAGGGTGAAGTGTGCATCATGGGAATGAAGAGAATATTCCAAAAACTGAAAGCAAATGTTCAATGTGTCAAGGCCAGAGATCAGTATATTTCCCAGATGTCAGAATCCTGCCCGTGCACAGAGGCAGATTTTGAATGGTGAGTTCCCTGCTCTGCAGCTACTCTTTTCACTTCATTAAATCCAATGCACAACACTTTATCAGTCTCCAGAGGCAAAGTCTGTGAAGCCAACCTAAGGCACAACAAGAAGACCTTATATTTTATAATTCAAAACTTATTTTTATTTCAGTTATATTTTTGTCAACTTGGGAAGTATGTTTGTCACTCAGGAACAAGATATACCGTGTTGTTTTCACCCTGTGGTATGATTAATTTGGTAACAACACTCATCTTGGTTTAATATTTCAGTTATCAGTGTCTGCAGTATAGCAAACGTGCAAGATTACATATACAGACATGAAAACGTATATGTAGAGCAATGAGCTGTTCAGTGGTCAGGAGATCAGACAAAAACCTTACAATTGGTGATACATACTTGAATTACTACAGTAGTTTTGTTAATTACTTATGAAGTAATTATGTAGTAAAACAACAGAATTTTAAAAAACAGTAACACTATGATCATATCTAGAGATGTATCGGTGCCAAAGGTGCTACGACTGCCTCACCTTTTGTTAATGCATGGTTATTAAATTGTCAAACGGCAGTATCTAACCTGGGCTGGTTACACAAACTGTGTGTTCTCATACGGATACGAAGTAGAAGTTAGTATCTATCCTGTAATGAATCTATAGTTTTAAGAGTGTGTTGTCCAGGTCCCAGTTATTCTTTTATTCATATCAATAATTAGAGCCAATAAACTTCATATTTTAGAACCAGGACCTGATCCAAGATTTGGATCAAGAAGCTCCTGAAAAATACAGTGTGACAGATTAATTCAATTTCAATATGTCAGATATTTAATTAACATTTACTGTATGTGGATATAAATATTGCATCAGAGTCAGTGTTGGGGCCAAAACTGGATGGAGACATCCCTAATCACATCATTACAACAGTTTAATTGAGAGAAGATTATCATATTGAAACCCAGCACTCACAAATACGTGATAACAATACATTGCTACATCTTTCTACTTGTATCCAGTGCACTTTGCATAAATTAATATGATCAATAACACTAATGGTTCAGTCTATGGTAAGTATTGCTTCAAGTAAGAACTTCTTGTAATTCACTCTTTCATATTTTCTTTTATTTTTCTGAACAAGCTTAACACCACTTTACTACTAAAAGACTTATTAAACTTTCTAACTCAGGCTCCTGAGAATGTATTTCCATGATCATGATTAAATATGACAGATGCCTCTGACTTTGCCAAGGTATAATTATGGTTTGTGCAAACATTCTTTTCTGGTTCAGAAGTTTGATACATAAAACATCAAATCTCAAATACGCTGAGTTGTTGTTTTGTGAAAACTTTTCTCTGACCTAGAAATACCCGTGTTCACAGCAGACCTGTACTACTGTGTGTTATTCACTTTGAGCTGAGTAATTATATTTGGTATTTTAGATAAATGATAACAAATCTTTTTAATGTTCCATATCTTTTTCTGTATTTGTTCTACCTGAAACAGTGACTATGGGTTTGAGAGGCAGGTTGATGGGAGCTGCATTCCGGCTTTCTGGTTCATCCCTTCAGCAACATCCAGAGACTGTGTCACCGGGGACAGCTTCCTCAACACTACAGGGTACATGTGATTCACTTGTAGTGGCCCAAGCAAAGGGAGTAGTGGGTGCATTAACGCCTTTTGGTTACATTTAAACAAAAATAAATAAATAAATAAAAAATAAAATTGCTTATATTATTATATGTTAAAAATGGTTGATTATGTACTTTACATCATCTATGAAAGGTTGGTAACCTAAACCGAGAGTTTATTTTAATATACTTCATGCAAATATCTTTCTACGTGTGTTTGTATTGTGCTGTATATACCTGCTTTTACATTCACAAAGTGCTCATTTGTCTTTTGTGGGTGTTTAATGAATTCCAGATATCGCAGGGCTTTGTCTAACAACTGCACTGAGGGAACGCTGTTGAAGTACAGCCCAAGGCGACAAATGTGTCCCAGTCGGGCTCCCCGGGGCCTCCAGCTCTTCACCAGCGAGGGAACTTTGGTAGTGAGGCTGGAGAGGAATGTCACCTTCTTGGTCTTTCTGGAAGAGGTGCTGACTTCGGTTAAACAAAGCAACAGTACTATACATGCTAACGCAGAGGCTGGAGCATATCAAATGTGACATGGTTTAGCACTTAACATCATCTTTGTAAATGTTATTGAAGGTGCACTTTGTTTCAGTAAGGACACTGACAAACAGCTGAGGCTACAGTGTGAATGACAGTAATTTCTTTTTGAAGGGTCTCGGCTCCACGACAGGTATAACTGTGGACTTCGGAGATGGGGCCGCCATATCATATGTTAACATAAGTTCTATTGAAGACGGAGTCAAGCATATCTACAGTAAAGTTGGCATCTACCAGGTTTCCGCTACAGCAAGCAACACCCTGGGTTTTGATCGGGTGACACTCTACCTCCATGTTTCCTGTGAGTCAGAAATAACCAGTCAGGTTGCTGCTAGAATGTAAACAACTGCATGATCATTCATACAATTATTTTTTAACGTGATAGTAAAAGAAAATTAGTCCTTTTTTGTTTGAGTACTCTTTATATTATTATCAGCATTAATCAGTAATAATGTTGTTATGTGTGGTGATTAATTGGCTGACAGTACATACACTATATTGCCAAAAGTATTCACTCACCCGTCCAAATCACTGAATTCAGGTGTTCCAACCACTTCCATGGTTACAGGTATATATAATCAAGCACCTAGGCATGCAGACCACTTCTACAAACACTTGTGAAAGAATGGGTCGCTCTCAAGAGCTTAGTGAATTCCAGCGTGGTACTGTGATAGGATGCCACCTGTGCAATAAGTCCAGTGATGAAATTTCCTCGCTACTAAATATTTCACAGTCACTGGGAACGACAGCAACTCAGCCACAAAGTGGTAGGCCACGTAAAATCACAGAGTGGGGTCAGCGGATGCTGGGACGCATAGTGCACAGAGGTCGGCAACTTTCTGCAGAGTCACTAGCTACAGACCTCCAAACTTCATGTGGCCTTCAGATTAGCTCAAGAACAGTGTGTAGAGAGCTTCAGGGAATGGGGTTCCATGGTCGAGCAGCTGCATCCAAGCCTTACATCACCAAGTGCAATGCAAAGTGTCGGATGCAGTGGTGTAAAGTACGCTGCCACTGGACTCTAGAGCAGTGGAGACGTGTTCTCTGGAATGACGAATCACGCTTCCCTGTCTGGCAATCCCATGGACAAGTCTGGGTTTGGCGGTTGCCAGGAGAACGGTACTTGTCTGACTGCATTGTGCCAAGTGTAAAGATTGGTGGAGGGGGGATTATGATGTGGGGTTGTTTTTCAGGAGTTGGGCTTGGCCCCTTAGTTCCAGTGAAAGGAACTTTTAATGCCTCAGCATACCAAGACATTTTGGACAACTTCATGCTCCCAACTTTGTGGGAACAGTTTGGGGATGGCCCGTTCCTGTTCCAACATAACTGCGTGCAGTGCACAAAGCAAGGTCCATAAAGACATGGATGAGTGAGTTTGGTGTGGAAGACCTTGACTGGCTTGCACAGAGTCCTGACCTCAAACCGACAGAACACCTTTGGGATGAATTAGACCAGAGACTGCGATCCAGGCCTTCTCGTCCAACATCAGTGTCTGACCTCACAAATGCGCTTCTGGAAGAATGGTCAAAAAATTCCCATTAGCACACTCCTAAACCTTGTGGACAGCCTTCCCAGAAGAGTCAAAGCTGTTACAGCTACAAAGTGTGGGCCGATATCATATTAAACCCTATGGATTAAGAATCCGTTGTTATTCAAATTCATGTGCATGTGAAGGCAGGATAGCGAATGCTTTTGGCAATATAATGTATTTCTTGTAACAAAGATGTGACCTTGTTAGGAACTAACTTAATTTTAGTTAGCATCCTTATGATGTAGTCATTTAAGTTATTGTCTTGGTCATTGTCACAGCTAGAGTAATCACAGGCAGCCTTCAAAGAAATCGAAGCACTTTATAAAGAAAACGTAATGTGAAACACTTGGGCAAATACTCTTTCTACTCTTTTGTAAATTCAAATTGGTTTACTCGCCCTGTGCCGGCGCAGAAGACGCCTCTTTGTTCTTTCCTCGTTGACTGAGAAGAGCAGCGGTGGTCAGTTTGAATTTAGCTCATTATAATGGATTCCAATGGTGACATTTTCATGGCAGCAACAAGCATCAAAACATCCACAGGCATTTGTCAAACCACTCCTGCAGTGCAATCAATTTCTCCGATATCTTTTCTTAGGCTCATTGTGGTCCACACAGTCGTCATTCTGACATAATATAGCTAACAGTGGGTTCTGCTGGGATTTGTGAACATCATGGAAACAGTATATTTAGCCATATTTTTACGTTTTAACAAAAGGCAGTGTGTTTTTTTTTTCTCTGAAGGTCAACTTGAACAGATCCAGCTTTTGGCTCCTTCAGTAGTTGTCAAGGACAAAGCGGTAAACTTCACAACAGTGTTACGCCCCAGCAATGTGGGAACAGTCACCTATTACTGGTGGTTTGATAACAGAACGGAGGTGACTCTTATGTTTTTTTGTTCTTTTATCATGCTGCCTTTTTACTGAATATCATGATAGATTCACGTCATGCCTCTTTCTCTGTCTCTTTGCCTTTTAGCCTGTTGTGACCCTTGACGGAGCGATGTCCTTCGTTTTCTCCAAGGAGGGACGTCACAGTGTCACTGTTCAGGCTTCAGTCGGCACTACTGTCCGTCAGGACCAAATGACGGTGGCAGTTTATGGTGAACCCTTTATTCTTATTTGACTTTACTTGACACACTTAAACAGCCTCTTAGTATAATGCAGTGAAATCTGTGGAGTTAATTTTCTGTCTAAATATGAGAGTGAATCAAATGTTTTGAAATCTTTTGATGAAAAAAAAATGTAAGAGATGGCCAATTACTTTTTTCCCAGGGATTTCAGACGCATCTCTTTTGACTTCATTCGCAGAGGGCGATTGCTCAGTTGTAACAGGGAGGTTTTAAATCAAGTGAAAACAGGTGGTTGTATATAGGAGTGAGATTGTGACAGTGGTTCCTCTCAATGATGGTGCAAACTCCAGTTGCTGATGAGGCCTTGGCTGAAAAGCTCCACTAACTGGACTTTATAAAAAGAACAGTTTTCTTAGGCTGTTTCCATTAACAGTGAACCTTTAAGCGGAAGTTTGAAGACTTTGTGTGTGTTTTTAAAGATTTGTATTTATTTTACTCATGTTTTGAGAGTAGTTTGTAAAATCACACAGCTAATAACTGAACATCAACATTTATACAGATATATTGATTGAGATATCTGATACATGAAGTTAATTATTGTGGAGAGGGATCCTAATGAAAGAAGAACTACAAAAGCTGACTGTGATTTCTGACTGTTTCAGATTATTTCCAGTCACATGTTTTGGCCTTTTCTTCTAACTTGGATGAGCTGAACCCCGGCGTGTCTGAGTGGAGGGAGGACATAGGCAGAGTGGTGAAGAGCTCCATGGTTCAGGTCAGTTCTTTAGCTGCCAGCTAGTTTTCTAGATCCGAGCACTGTCCGTGCTGTGAAGGACACCGAGCGATGAGGTCCCTCTGAGGAGAAACGTTCGCCATTTCTGTGGTAGTGAGGTTTACAGGGATGGGTTGCCAGCCTGACGCCCTCACACACCGGTGATATCACCGGGAGCTATCAGGGGTTTAGTGTCTTGCTCAAAGACACTTCGACATGTGGACCGGAGAATCAAGTCGCCAATCTCTGGTTTGCAAGGCGCCCACTCTGCCTACACAATCAGCAGTGAACTAAACTCCAGAATACCTCATTCAGATCCTGGCAGTTAGCAGAGAAAGAATCAGGTCTTTTTGTACTGAGCCAGTAACATTTCCATTTTGCTGCTTTTGTGATGTATATATGTGGTCTTGTGTCAAATGCTGCTCTCCTCTACTTGCAGTGGCTTTAATCTCACTTGCTGTGTAATTAGTTATTAGCCTCTACATGATGACATAGCGGATTGCCCGAAATCATTATTACCAGTACAAGCTTTCAAGTAGACATGTCAAAGCACTGCAATAAAAGCACTGCTCTCTAAAGAGCTGAATGCCATTGCCTCAAGAGGAGACCGGAATCTCAAGTAAAGGGAGCCGAACTCTGATTAAGTGCCTCTGGTTTTCCTTCAGAAATGCTGCAGGGATGTTAGAAAAGCAGGAGATTATGTAAAAGACCTGGAGACTGAGCTCACTCTCTCTATATATCCTACAGTAGCCCTCAGTATGAAACATTCACTTTGACCTTCTGTCTTGTCAGATATTACCTTGGTTTACACCAGGAAACTGACAGCAGACCTCTGGTTATGGCATAAATGCACTAACAGCCCTGGCCTTTCCCAAAGACTGTCAAATTGAGCTTGTGTTTCCAGTGATCCATGCATTATATGTTGACAGTGACTGGTACTTACGCAAATGATACATGAAGTAGAAAGTCAACAGTTTTTACTCATTAATACAGGCGACCCCCAGGGATGATATTTCTGAGCCAAAGTGTAGAATGTTTCCCCAAACGCTGTCAATGAAAAACCTTCTTAATGAGATTTTGTTATTATCATTAAAGGTCACAGGAATCAGTGAGGATCAGCTCCTGGTCACAGTGCTCCCAGGTTTACCGACCACAGCAGAGATTTTCATTGTACCTGAGAAGAGGTCAAGCATCGGCGCCATGGATGAAAAATGGGCACAACTGGATCAGGTACTGTCTCAGCGAATCATTTTAATGGCCCCTGTCAGGTGTAGAGTACAATGTGGTTTTCTGTGATAATTAACACCACACAAAAGTAAGCTGAGAAAGTCAAAAGACTAGAAAGAAGACCCTTGGAGAACATGTGCTTTAATTTATAGGGTGCCATACAACTCCAATGAGTAATTAGTTTAAGCTCTATTCTTGTATTAAAAAGAGCATATTTTATGATGTTTGGAAATTGTTTTCACCAGCAGCTTATATCATTCTCTCTTGTATTGTCAAGCTAAATGAGTGTGTTGTCAATGGCTTTTTAATTGCAATGTAATCATTTACGTACAATATTAAGTGCACACACAGAGACAGAGAGAGAAAGAGTCTACTTGTTTATTTCAGTGCTAGTTGCAGTCCAATTCTTTGTTGGACTCATCTGCATGATAGCTTTTTTGTTCATAGCCAAAAGATTAATTTGCCATGAGTTTTTCCAAGATTTCACTTAAAGCAGTTGACTTCTGCTCCAGATATTTTCATCTCATTTGTAAGCTCTTCACACTATGAAAAATTTAATGAACAGATCAAGTCCGCCTTAAGTGTTTGTTTTGTCCCCTGAGGAAATCTTTGTCTAAATTTTAGTGTTGGTAGTCCCGTCTATCTTTCCATATGTTACTGTAGTCATCATCTTTTATCTCAGATTATTTTTCTAATTTCTGATTGACATAGACAGTTGAGTGCCCTGTGTATTGATATTAGATGCTTGTTGTTTTTAAAGCTATATGGGTCCTTGGATTGTCTAATTTCTTTACTAAAACAGTGTCTGACCTGGAGATATTTGGTGATACCACATATCTTCTTGAGATGTCGATTAAGAGTATTAATGGTTTTTATTTCAGTCCAGTATGAAAATCAATTTGTAGAAACTTAAAAATGTGGGTTTGGGTGAGGCAATACATCACAGTAAGCATCACGTCTGCATTTATTGTTGTCACATTTACATTATCACATAGCATGGTAACATAGTGTAGTTTTACTGTAAGATCACAATGATTTGGAAAGTCTACACTCCATTGCCATGCAACAGTAAGGTTAACTTTGACAAAAATAAATGCAGACATGATGTTCAATGTGATGCATTATCAAAGTCAGCCAAGTTTAAAGTCTCTGCAAATGTGTTTTCATACCACAGTGAAGTGAATGGACATCATCGCCTGCTTAATATGTTGGAAAGACACTATGTTACCTTTAGGAAAAGGTCAGCAGTGATGAAGATAGTAGTACTTTTTTGTAGTAATTGGGGTAAAAAATAGAAAAACTCTGGTGTGGTTCATTTAGTGAACATACAGAGCGAACAAGAGGAATACAGTGTGTTCTTTCTAGACACTTTGTTATTGTTATGTGGGCACATAGAAGCCATCTCATCTCATATAGCATCATCACACTTCCTCCTCGTGTAGCCTCCAGATTGTAAACCCCATTGATTCCCTGCAGAGTCATTCAATCATAGAACTACTTTTTAATTTTATTGTATTCATGATTTTATAATGGTGTAATCATGCAACACAAACTTAAATTGTTAATCTCTTTCCTTTTTTATTTTTTTTTTCCCCCCTGATTGCACTATTGTTTCACTGAGGCTCAAGCTTTTTGAAATGAGATTTGGGCTCTTTATTTCTTAATTGCTAAGTGATGTAATGCTCTCACACATGCACTTTGTATTCCAGTCCCTCCTAAACAGTAATGCATAACATCAACACTAGAGGGCAGTGTCTTCCCATGTAAAAGCACTGAAACAGCCTCCATCAGAGCAGTGATATTTTCCTCACAAAGCACCTCAGCACATGTCACAGACCCACTGCCACCTTTTAGAAGCTTAGAGACTTGGACAAACCTTTACACAACCACAATCATTTTAAGCCACCACACTTTACTGTTATTAAATAACGTCTCTGGATCTACAAAATTGATCGTTTATCATGTTATAGAAATATATTTAATATTTGAACAAAACAGTAAAGCTGAACCGTTTTTAAAGCACCAGTTAGACAAGCTCATTTTTTCATCATAACAAATGGAACCTCGATGTATTACAAGTAAACATAATTTTGCTGGCTCACAGTCGTTCTTGAACTACGTTAATAGGTATTTAATTACATTGATGCATCATATAATTGGCACCAATGAGAAAGGAGACAAACTGGGGCAGACAGCCTGGATTGGGAATTAAAGAGATGTATTTATCTGGAGCCTGTCTGATTACCTGGCAGAACCTCATAGACAACAGGGTAATAAATCTTCAGTTCACTGTTCTCATCACCAGTGAATGACTTGCAGTGTGGATGCACTGAGTGAGTGTATGTGCGGAGCAGCTTATTAAAATGTGTAATAGATTTACTGACCCTGATATGCCACTAGAACAAAAAGTAATTATTCATACTGTGTAGAGCAGTCTAATTTTAACCAGTGGAAAAATTTTAGAAAGAGCGAGATGGAATTAGTGAGGCATGGCTAAGGACTCAAATGGGCTCTGGGAAGGCAGTTTGGTCTCTTGTTAAATGACTGCTTCATCTAGGTGTGAAAAGCAGGGGAAGTTGAGGCACTTTAGGGAGAAAAATTAAAATCCCAGTTTTATGATATTAGAACATACTATGACTTCTAGTAGCTTTGCCTCACTGAACTTCAAAATTAGTTAATCATGTTTTCTTGAAAATAGGTGTGGAGGTAAAGAAATTCCCTGTTCTGACAGATATAGCAAAAGATTATTTTTTTTTAAATGTCACTGCATCACAAGCAGACCGCCCATTTACCTGATAGGGTTGTCATCACCATTGAAAGCCTGCTGGGTTTCAGTGCTGCAGGTTTGGTTTTCCATGTGTCATATCGACATTTGCTCCTCTTTAGAAGGAAGCAAAAAATGTGATTCATAATTCAGGCTGTTGGATAAAATGACTTGCGGTTGAAATATTGATGACAGTGGAATATTGCTGTGCAGCCGCTGCTAACGGTCTTCTCTGCTCTGTCACTCCTCCTCATAGCTTTCTCAAGTTCTGCTAAGTGCTCTGAACCAAGACCTCATCCAGTTTGCACTCAAACCGGGAGTGCAAGTCAACGTGTACGCCACACGGCTGTCTCCAGGTGAGTCTGCTGCAAACTTACCTGATCAAACGGTGGACTGATCCAGTTTTTGGGAACAAGCTGCTTTTGAGGTGGTTGTCTCTTAGTTGACGCAAGAATTTGATGAATTCTTCTACTTTGAGTATCAAGTTGACCGATAAGCCTACCTGGGAACAAGCTAGTCTTAATACATGTTTTAAAATATGTACATGACTCCCTGGAAAGCAGTAGTTATAGTGAGTGGATGATCCTGGTGAAAAAAATAGAAAATGAGGACAAAGGTAGTGCTGAATGAACATTAGGTCTCTGTCATAAGTCTCAAATGTTGTCGGCGAAACAGGACAGTGGTGATTTAACAGGATTGTTATGTAATTTATATTCATACAAGATAAAATATATATTTCTCCTCATTTGTCCTACATTTGCACTCATTTTCTCTTTTTTTTCCCCTTTCTCCTCCAAAGCTCCTCTTGTGGACAGCAGTGATAGCGGTCACAGCGGCACTGCAGTCATCATGCTCGTTTCAGTCGTCCTGATGGGCTTGGCTGTCTTTGTAATATATAAATTTAAAAGGTACAGTATACTTGACATAACCACCTACTGTAGAGCCCAGAAGGAATGTGTGAAAATGAATCCTCAGATTTTCAGGCACATACCACTGTAAATATCTACGATAAGACAGAAGTTGTTGTTGTTTTGTGCGCGTGTGTGTGTGTGTTTGCTTAATGGCCCTATTTAGAGTTGGCCCCATTATGTACAAGCAACACCTCATGGCTGAACTCCTAAAACTTTCCAGGAGTATGACTTATGAACGTCAGCTGCACAATAATAGCTCATGGAATAAGACAATTCCCCTCTGTCTCAATCTGCAGAATATTACAAGGAATGACAGTCTAATCAATTCTGCCAGAGTGCTGAATGGGTGTCAGAGTCCTGCAGTTATCAATATTCATCTATCTGACAATGTGAGGGTTGACCTTTCGGAAATGCTAAACACAGCCATTCAAGGTGAGGCATACTCTGTAGAATGGCAGGAAAGGTTGAGCAGATAAGTCCGGAGACAACATATATTATACAGTGCGACATACAGTAAACAGCATCCTCTGCTGCAGGTAATCCCAATGCCAATCATAAGGGGATGGGTATCTTCCTCTGCGGTTTGTAGAACTGTACTTATTATAAAGTAAAACATTACTTAACTTTCATTTTCAGGATCATAATTATTACATCAAGAAATCAACTTTGCATTTCCAAAGCTGCCTCAAATGTCAGAGCACCAGCTGCAGCTCAGAATCACCAGGGGAGAATCTGGAATTAGAAATGCAAGATGTCAGTTTTAAGCACAATTGTGGGTGCATCTAAGGGGATGGAAAATTGATTGAAAACTGAGGTGAACAATAGAAAAGTGAGGGAGTAACGCCCGGTGGAATACAAAATGCCCTAGTTTCCAGCTTTCAAGCAATCCTCTCCCATCCTCAACAGTTAAAAATAGTGTGCGACACATTATGCTTAGTGAAAGCATTAGTGAAACGGACCTGATGGCAGTCCTCCGTTAACTTGCCTTTTTTTTCACAATTGTATTTCTCTTTTCCTCTGCATGACCTACAGGAAAATCCCAGGCATCAACACATACACAGCAGAGCAACCTGACAAAGAACAAGAGGTCATCCCAACCGTGACCTCCATATCCAGCCCAAACCCTGAGGGGGACAACTGTACCTCACTGGATCATGTGGATGTACAGATCGACTCACGAAGCAGAGGTATTAATGTGTCTCTTCCTTCCCTAACACTACAACAGCAGCTTCCATGGTGTCCAAAATGTTGGTGCACTGGTTGTAAACTGCAGAATTATAGTTATTTTCCTCAAATAACAAAGAATGTGCTTGTAATTATATTTAGCAGTATCTAGGGCTATTGGTTTTATTTGCTCAGGTTTTTGAAATATCCATCTCTGAGATTTCTGATGCCATGCCAATACAGAGGAGGTGGATAGAATTTCATTGAGTTTTGCTAATATCACATTTACAAGATTCAACACTAGCATCGCTTTCTTTTCTGAAACTGTCTCATACATGAGTCTGATGTGATGCACTGTCTGTTGAAATATAGTCATTATTCTAGCTGACGAGTAGACAGAGCTGGCTGTTCACATTGGAAACATTGAAATTACCCAGTTAGGAGGAAGCTTTTGCGGTGGGTAATAAAAAGCCCTGTATCAGGCGTACAAGTTATTTTTCAAACAAACACACTCTCTGCTGCAGTCTGTCGGGTGTTTCCGTTATTTTGTCCACCTCATTTAGGCTAAATAACAAACGCAATAGCAGTGGACCATTTTTTTTCCATCATAGGAACCTACCGAAATGTATCAAGCCGGGTAACGCTCAGTATAGTACATAAAACTAGAGTTAAGTGAGAGCGTTTTAGTAAACTGTGTGAAGTAATTCTTTAATACAGCAAAGAAAGTTGTGACAGAAGTTGCAACAGTATATTACAAACTGCATTAGCGAAGAGGAACAGGGGTCTTAAGTTGAAGATTACTGACAGTGAAGAGATACTTGATATTCACTTATTGTTAAGTGCCGATTGTACACTTCCTCCCCCTGTATTATTACGAGTTGCCACGATACAGTTATTATGTTCTACTTATTTATGTATTTGCCAGCCTGAGTTTGTCATAGCAAGCTATTAGTATTCACTGGTAAGAGAAGCACAATGAAGTGCAAGTTAAAGTGATGAGAATGTCTAGGTGAATTATTTGACCCAATAAAATAATTAGTGCATCAGGAAAGTAGCAGAGTGGTGAAAGCATTTTCATCAACAGATATCTATGAGGTTCCAGGTGATTTACCTCTACCCGTAGCTAAACAATCGACCCATCCAAGATAAATGTGTTTGCCTGCAAAAATACACCCATATGCAAATAGCTACATAAAATTCCTCTTCTGTCTCTTTCCTTTCTTCTCCCTTGCCAGGCTACCTGCCATCTCACACAGACATCAAGCTCTCTGATGAAGCGCCCCATGTGTTTTAATGTTGAGAGTCTATGACCGACTCAAAAGCAATACATCTTCTTTGGCAGTTACTTCCAGCAAGCTATGAAACCACGGTCACAATGAATGGTCTCGAGTGTTTTGCTACCCATGCATGGATGGACCACTTCACACTGTGCTGCCTAATCCCTCTAAGGAGACTGTACAGATTTCTACTTGCTTCTTGAAAAGGGACACTTCTTGACTGAAAATACTTGTATTTTTGCAAGGATCTTGTTCTTTCTATGTAAATAATGTATATCCATAATGGAAGATGTTATTTGTCTCAGCTGGTTACAGCTGTGTCTGCTCAAAGATGAAAAATATCGAACAGCAGAACAAATGTGATGTGAAATAATCTCTCAAAATATGCTCCTATTTCTTTTCTTTGGGCTTGTGTTTGTGAAGTTTACTTTAACTATGTGGAAATAGTTTATCTGGGTAAGACAGTGAGGGAAGCGGATTCATTAAGCTCTGAACAATCACTAAATCTTATCACCAGATTCTCATCAAACGAGAGCTTGCAATATCGAGGAGATGGAGGGCTTCCACTCCCAGATCTGTGTATTCCATCAAGCCTGGCTCAACATGCTATACTGTACATGTCAACACAAAAATAAGAACAGAAGATTGAAGTGGATAGGTATACACAGTAAATGAGAAACTGAGCAATCCCTCTTGTTTAGGAGACTTCCTGTACTTTTTTTTTTTTTTTTACTGGGACTGGAGAGAATCATATAAGTGATAAACCTACTTCAAAAGAGATTACACACAAATCTGTCTAATCTAAATCTTGCATATAGATTATTATTATTGCATCAGGAACATATTTGGTTGTTCTATAGTCAGTTAACTGTTCAACATTGCAATGACTTTTAAACTTGTGCTTCATATTTATTTGTTGCCTGGAGCATTTCTTGTACATTCTATGAAGGAAACAAGTTGTACATTTTCTGACAAGTTCCTGTTTTCACAAAACTAAAAAGTTACAGCACAGCAGTAAACATTTACTGTAATGCAATTAAAGTGCTACAGTGCCAAATTTCTGTTTTAATTAATTGGTTATTAGTTAAATGTTTATTGGCTACTAGACTTACCAGCAGAAAGCTAAGACTCCTTGACATAGTTATAAAATATTTCTCATGTTTGTTGTTGTTTGAACTGATCTCACTGTGAAGGTTGGTGCCTTCCTAACAGAAGTACGACAGCATGGGAACTGCACCAGGTTTGAGTGAAGGCTTTTTTTTTATTGTGTTAAAATGCCTTTTATTTATTCTGGAGTTTTTTTATCTGCCATGATAACACCAGCATCTCCGCATCGCATTTTCTCCGTTTACAGTAAAGCAGACGAGTTTGCAGTCTGTTCTAGGATTTGCCCCCAAGGACTCCGCGGACAAAAGGCTGTGGATTTGTTCATCTCTTTTGCTGCAAGGGACACAGAGATAGAGAAGATGTATCTCCTGTCAACAAGGCCCAGCCTACGCACACAGCTTTGGTCAGCTGCTGTCTCTTTGGGATAAGTACTGAACTTCTTCTTCATCAAACTTTTCTTTTTAAGTGTTGTCAGCATCATATGTCAGTAAGACAAATTGACTAGAGGCTTCTCCATACTTTTTTCCTCCCAACCTCCGACTGAGCCTGAAGCATAAATAAACTTGTACTCATCATGAGACAAACGACGCTTTTCTACACAATCATCAGAGTTCAGAGTTTTATTTTTTGCATGATATTTAACAAAATTTTAGTTGTCCCAATCAACTTGTGAATATGATTGTGTACATGATTTGCATGTTTTTTCCTCTTCTTTCGAGATAGTAAAATGCGTCTTAAGGAAAAAAAAAACAAAAATTAGAAATGTGAACTGCAGTATTTTGCGTATCAAAAGGGTAGACAACTAATTCTTTACAAGTGACGTAATTATTCGGTGGGTTGTTGCTGTGTTTTTCATTTGATCTAGCAGAAGTAACCATGGTTGTGGAATAAAGCAGAAACACAACATTAATACAGTGTGGCTGGTTGTTAAATTTCTAAAAGCAGCTTATTTCTGCTGTTGTATGTTAGTGCTAGTTACATGTGACCTTTGATTTTAGTCAATCTGCAAACTTTAAGGGCAAAACTATGACTCCACCTCAGCTGAGTGTGAATCTTTGTTGGTACTTTTGATAAACAAGAACTTGCACTTTGTTGAATTTGTTGCTGTTTCCACTTTGCCTCTTATAAGTGTTGCTTAGCATGCCCAAAGTTTCAGTGCATCCATTTACGTGGTACAATGGGGCCGAGCGGGACGACAATGAAAAGCACCAAGTAGCCTGGAGTGATTCTAATGGGCTAGTTCCTTGGCTCTCCCACTGTGCAACAAATTAATTGTCCCCTCTCCAGGAAATCGACGCACACGCACAGACAATCAAGAAAGATTTTCCCAGACTGGGTAGCACCTTGAATGAAAAATGTCCCTCAACAATAACCCACAGCAATATTGTGTTAGCCACAGTGTGAAATTGATGAGCATGTTTCCTTTCATTGAGTGCTACATTACAGTGTCTGGCTGCAGCGAATCATCCATTAGTGATTGTCACCGTTCAATTTGATTGTGCACCGCCGAACATCCCAGGGCAGTTAGAGAAAGGCCTTGGTGTTAATTCAGACTGAGAGCAGGGACGAAAATAAGACTCTCGGGGCACCGATGGCTGCTGGAGTGACGGAGATTGGTGTGTAATATGGGGCTGTTCAAGTGGCAAATAAAATGTAAAACAGAGAAACAAGGGCCATGTTACTACAGCTTTGTGTTTTTACAGTTATTTCAGACAGGTGTGTCCTCCAACCTTTCCATTTCTTTTCTGTTTTAATGTGCAATACTTTTCCGCATCCGAGGACAGAGAAACAGTGCTAATGCCAGCAGTTCTTTACAAAATCATCTGTTTCTCATCACTCGACTACAGCCTCAGTAATAGTTCCCGTTAAATAGAAACCATCTCTAACTGGCTAACTTGAGTGACAGTGTTAAAATGAAGCTCAGTCTAGTGTCAGATAGAAATCTGTACGTGTATTATCACACTTTGGCCCATTAAAGCTGACTGCAGAGACTACGGGGTCGTTAAAAGTAGTGCGCCAATACTGATACACTGGCCGTTCGCTGCAAGGAACCTGCGTTTCAGAAAAGACTGTGGCAAACGAAACTGAATGAGCTCATTTGCTTTTGGGTTTGTCTTTAAAACGGAAAGATTTTTCATTCAAGGACAGCCAGAAAGTTGGTCTTGGCATCATCTGCTAGGGGGGAAAAAAAAAAAGAGCATAAATATTATAATGTTAAAGTATAAATGTTATAATCTTACAGTTGTCATTACAATGCGTACTATAGGTGGATGCATAATAGGAAAACAATTCCATATAAAAATACATTTATTTTGAACAATTTCAAAATGGCAATTTGTTCACAGTAAGAAATATGATTTAAAACAAGATGATTTTTAGGTCGACAAAAAGGAACAGTTTCATTGATCATGCACAACTTTTGGGCAATTGCACAACTAGGCTATTAGACAGGGTGTTTGATAAGTTTAATGCCAAGTAAACTTTAAAATCACCATGACATTAATATATACACAGTACTCGCTCACCCTAATATAGTTTTTAAATGTTATCATAGATAATTAGGGCATGCTACTGTAAAAAATAAAATAAAAAACAGGACATACAGCTTGTTGTCAGACTGGAGGTCATGGAAACATACTACTGCCTGTTTAGTTGATTTTACAATAAAATTAGGATGAAGCTATTGTATAGATTTACATTCCATCTTATTCTATGTACAAGCTGTCAGATCAAACTTTCATGTCCATATATTAGGTTTTCGTGTCCACTATCTTCTGAGAAACAGTCATTGAAAGCACCATGCTATCTTACAGAACAAAACCAACTACATACAGCATTTCTTTCTCATATGCATTCACAATAGTCCGACTCTGACATTTTATATTCATTATATTTACAACTCAAAGACCTCTAGTTACAGGGCGGTAAAGTTCATGTTTATCCATAGCTTAAAGTTAAAAACTTGGTAAGAAATGATAACTAAACCTAAAACTGATGATATTTATGTCATGCAGGCCGAGCAACATGTAGCCTGCCTCAACTCTTTGTTGTCTGTGTTGTATTATTCATAAGGGATGTAAAAAATAAAATAACAATGTTACACCTGACAGATTTTATACCCTGCTGGTTCAATTTGTGTGATTAGGGGAAACATTATGTTAGGAGCAAAATAGTATCAACACATACGGTGAGATTTTTATTACATTAAATTAGTTTATCATTTTAAGCCCTGTATAATAATACTGTAATTGTCCTCGAGGGTCTAAATATCCTTAAAGTGAGTCATAACCTGGGGTTAAATCTGACCAAAGCCCATCAGATCTAAGCTTTAGCATCACAGTGTCTGGCTTGAAACATCCGTTTTCAGAAACTGTCTCACACTCACATGGACGCCACTGAATCGCTGTAGCCATTAAACAGCAACAGGACCCATGTTCATGCCTCCAAACAGAGAGGAGCTGTATGCCATTTACGCACCTGGCACAGCAGTGATACCTCTGTTAGTTATTTAAATCTGCTGTGACATTGTGATCCTACTGTAGTTTTATTAACCTTAAATCTTTTCTGCGCATTAATTGAGTCTGCTGCTACACACAGATTCACAGTTTATACGGTGAAACAATGCGGCTGTGTTCAGGACGAGTCCAGATGATGAACGCGTGGAATCCATCTAATCACTTAAGTAAATAAAATATAATGCAAGAGATAGTAAGCCTCATAATGAGGAAAGAATTACTTGTGTTTAGCCTTTATGTTGCTGTAGATATGGTACTCTAGTTGCTCAGGGTAAAGCTTATGCCTATTTATGCATGGACAGGAATTCCTGGGCTCCGTGAACCATAAACTGACTGCCACTTGCAGTCTGTGCTATATAAAGGTCTTCTGGGGTTTTGTGGAGGTGAACCTTTCCTCGCAAATTAATTTAAAGGGCTGCTTCCCCCACATTACACGTGATTAAATGAATGCAATCATATTTTTTATTTTTATTTTTTTTAAACAAAAAGTTAACAGTTCTCCATAGATAGCTCCAGTTTGAGATACCCGTCTCTGGAATGTCACCAATATAGTTTAGTTTGTGGTACAGTGACAGTCCACATCAACTTGAGTGACTTTATCAAACTTGTACAATTCTTTATCTTCTACCGACCTAATCCTGTAACTAACATGAGTTAGTGCTGCTTTTTTCATTTATATTAAATCAATATTTTTCTCTGACTGTTCTTTACTGCAATCTACTAAAGCTTTCGACATATTTCCTATCAGTATATTATGCTAATACAGAACCATATTGATATGTCACAGGGAATTTTTAAAAAACTAGTCAATATCAGCTGAATAGTTGTAAAATGTTGATATATCACCTCCATGACTGTGGTAGAGAGCAAAGGATTCCTGATGCTAACTGAACATCCTGCGCTGGTCTTGTAGCTATCAGCCAATTTCAGCCATTCACCGCCCTCTAAATAGAGGCCAAGGAGTCTGGTTCAGTGTATCCATCATCAAGTCTTCCAGAAACTTAATCCATCCGTGCGAGTTAAAAACATGACTTTGAACGACAGCAGCGTTTAATAAATTAAAAAACAAGCAAAGCAAATAATTTCAGCACAATTATAACACAACAATCTGTACTTACTCAGTGACACAGTGAATGTCCTAGACATTAGTACAGTTTGGAAATTCCCTTGTAACAATTCTCTCCATGTTTCTTCCAATTCCTCCTGTAAACATGCAAACAAACAGAACAAATACAGCGAGAGTCACATACACATCAGGTTGCTGTCATCTGTGATATTCTGGCATTATCTACATGGCACTGATTTTTGAGGTGAAGCAATAACTACTTTTTCCATCAACCAAACAAATCAAAGTTCAACCTAGAATTCTCTAATCTTTTAACATGAAGATCAAATGGTTTGTACAAGCTTTTACGCTTAATTACAAATTCATCACTCATGCATTCTAGTTAAAAAGCCTTCTGTTGTCTCACCAAAGGAAGACGGCCTATCTGAGCAGGGCCAAGCTGCTGATGGAGAACACTGTCTTTTTCCAAAGGTAGCACTTTTAACTCTCATCTGTGTCAGTAGTTTAAATTCAGCAAAACTAATTTCACATTCACTCATATAACTAATAGCCTGGCAGTAAATTCATCACGGTAAAGACCCGACTGTCAGTTCAGATTTAGCCAAGAAAATAAGATTTATGAGATTTGGTTTGCTTTTACATACAGCATATACTAATACTAAATCTATGTAATTTGTAGCAAAAATCACAATTTAAAAAGGCAAATAAGTTTAAAATTAAGAACAAAAGCTCAGATGTTTTGAAGACAGAGCTCTAGCAATCTCTGGTTAAAGTGGCTGCAGTACAGACACAAAGGGAGCACACACCTTCTGACACGTATTTTAGAGCAAAGTCTCAGGTGTTTCTCGCCTACTAGCAGACATTTGCTTTGATTTCTTCCCCGTTCCAGTCTGGATTTCTTTTAGCTTTCCTAGTATTTCATCCCAGTTTAGATATGTAAAAGTATACTGGAGTGTTGTTAATTTCACATGCTAATCTCTACTGAATATACATAGTAACCCTGCAATCATTTCGAACCAATGTAATAACTTAACTTTTAATCACCTGAGGTTCAGCTGAAATCATTGCCCTCTAAGAACTTATTAGCAAACAGTTTATTTCTGGCCAATTAAGTCCAATACGCAGTCACCTTTGGCTCTGTATTCTGTCTACACTAACATCTGAGGGAAATATCTGACTTAATATCTCATACTTCAAGCAAAGGTGGAAAGTAACTAAGTACATTTACTCAATTACTGTACTTAAGTACTATTGAGGTATCTGTACTTTGAGTTTTTGTTACTTCATACTTTGACTTCACTACATTTTAGAAGCAAATCTTGTACATTTTACTCCATTTATTTAATACATTTAGTTACTCATTCCTTTTCAGAATCTAATTAACAGAACAAAATACAGTATAAGACTTCTTGATCCCTGGTGGGAAATTCACAAGCTACCCATCAGTAACTCAAATTATAAGCATATAAGATATTTAAAATGATCTCCACCTTTACCGGCTGCAACGTTAAATGTAACGTAAATGATAATACATCAGTAATTATAATTAAATAGTACAATAAACATCAATGTGAATAATCAGCATAATGAGTACTTTTACTTTTGGTACTGCAAGTATATTTTGATGCAAATATTTTTGTACGTCAAGTACATTTTGAATGCAGGACTTTTACTTGTAATGGTATTTTTACACTGTGGTATTGCTACTTTTTCTTTGGTAAAGAATCTGGGTACTTCTTCCTCCACAGACTGCAAGTACCATAGATTTCGTTTTGATAAATATGATTTATTTTTCATGCTCAGTGAAGACATTTGTCTCTCCTTAGTTGGCTCTTTAGAGCATTCCTTAAGTATAATTCTAAGATAAATTCACAAAGTTTCACTGTCATACTGGAAAATGACGACTTCAATTCTAGGCAGACCTGTTTTTATGACCTCCTGGCCTGATGTGATGCATCATACAGAAGTGTCCTGAATGTCTTTTACAACTTAATTAATTCGTATTTCAACTCAACTGAAAATGTCTACTTATTATGAAACATGAGCCCATGCAAGCAGTCAGTGTAATCATTCAGAACCAATTGGTATTAACATAAATCAAATTAAGATCCTTAACTAAACCTACATTTAACTTTTCATTTTCATATGTCAAACCCTGTTGTAAATGTTCATTTTAACCTTCATGTATTCTGACTGTGGTTTTACTTCATAGCTTGAAGCTGCGCTGTGACAACTCTCAATGACCTCTTAGAGCTTGTAAAGCCATTTGGACTAAAATGACAACACATAAAATTACTGAACCCAGACATTAATTAAATTACAACTGGTTAATGTGTTTTTCTCTGGTAGGGGGCAAGTTGCCCACTGGCTGGAGAGAGCTCTACCTTACCTGCAATGGAAAATTCAATACTTCATAAAATACACTTCTGATGGATAGCCTAGGTACATTTTAAATATTCTGAATATGGTTAAAGCTGCATGTCACAGTATTCCCAAAGCAACAGTGACAAATAAATAAGATTAAACCAATGAAGGAAATATTCTAATTAGATGAATGATTAATCCTGTGGTAAGATGAACAGTTACCT